ATGACTTCATACTTTTTTAATATTTTTAAAAATATTTAATAAACCATTTTTTATGTGTTAATTTATTTAAAATATTTTAATTTTTTTATTATTAATCTTGACATTTTAATTGCAAGATATTATAAGTTTACTCAATCCCTAAATTAATAAAAATCGACCTAACCTCTATTTGTGCTTCTTCTTTTTTTTTTTTAATGTTCTGTGATCACTTTTTTCGTTTTAATTTATATTAAGAACTGTTAATAAAGTTGATATGCTTTTGAACTTTAATAAATTTTATACAATTTCAAAATTCAAATTCAATTTTAATCAAACTATTACATTCAAATTGTCATCATTAAAAAAGGGAAAAGTATTGATTTTTTTTTTTGTTTATAAAAATGTACAAATAAAACTAATAAGTTATTAATTCGAGTGAAAAGAACTTAATTTTTTGTAAATAAAAATTTAAATGCAAGTTTTTTGAATAGAAAAAAAGACATTGAAAGAATTTTTCATTTTAAGAAATCTAACTTAAATCAAGTCTAAATTAATCAAAATTTAATGTAAATTTTGAAACCAACAGGTGAGTTTTGCAAAATACATGTAACGGTTGACTTCAAATTTTAAACCACGAGAAGCACTTTTACTCAAAATAAATACTGCAAAAAGAAAAGAAAAGGAATAAATTTTTTTAAAAAAACCTAAATAAATACTTAATAAGCCTTTTACAATTTCAAGCAAATTAGAATTATCTCTATCATGCCTAAAACATAAAATTAATTAAAATTTGTGGGTTTCGTTCTGAAAATGACGGTTGATTTTGGTGGGGATTTTCTCCGCTTGTGTTTGGTGCGAAATTAAAAGAAGAGCGTGGGAACAAACTGCATGTTCGGTCCAATACCAGGAAATTTAAAGGCTTATAAGTCAAAAGATCTTTTCCAAAATTGTAAAATCTAATAGGTACCAACGAAATTTATTAATTCGAATACAAAGAATTTAATTTTTTTTTAATAAAATTTTGAGTTTAAATAATGTAAATGAAAAAATAAATATTAAAATAATTTTTTTTTATGAAATTCAACGTAATTCAATATCAAATTAATTAAAACTTAATATGATCATCAAATGCTATCTAAAAAAATTCTAATAAGTTGTTTGAAGTAATTTTTTTAAATAGTTGATAATTGATAATAAATATTTAATGATTAATAATTATTATTATTTATAATTTAAAATGTTTATTTATTTAATTAGAGTTAACAACTAATAATTTTTTTTT